AGACACCTTGGCCAATACGGAAGAGGGTATCAGCAAACACTTGAGAGAAATACGGCATATTGCCATCGTTTGATAATTATTCAGGTATCGAATGTCATGCTTTTATCCACTTCCTCCGTTTTTTCGTCTTTGCCAATATTCCGCCACAGAAACGGCCATGAGGGCCATTCCTCCAGTTCGTTCGCATTGCCGAGGGCAATGTTCGATAATGCACTCAATCAATATCGAATCTCGCTCTTTTCGCATTCGGGTTCCAGAAATTATGCATTATTGCGCTTGTGATGAAAGCAATAACGATTTGTGATAAGTCTGACAGTTATATTAGATTCATATTGAAAGTTTTCTCCTTGACAGTCTTGTCAATCGATCTTTCTTTCACGCTATCTCTTCGTCGAGATCCCGAAGAAAATTTGTTGAGTATTTTCGTTCCGATTATTTCGCCTTCGATATTTATTTCATGAAAGACGTCTGCTCCGATAATTGCGCACGCGAAAAAAGTTTATATACAGATTCGCTTGGAATAAAAAGTACGTTTCATAATGTTGTTCCCATATCGGATACCTCGTGATTATTCTGTACGATATTTCAAGATCGTATCTTTGGTAATAAGCGCAAAGAACAGAAACAAAATCACCCTTCTCTGATGTACTTGTAACGAAACCAATTTCGACTAATGCGTTGTTACCATATTCAGCATTGCGCTTTCCATCACTTCGCGTCCGATATTTTGAGGTGCATTCACAAATGTCCGAGTTTGGAAAAGAACGTAAACAACTTTGATTAAAATATATAACTATTAAGCGAAGTTTTATGAAATATTTTATTGCTAATATTTAATATAAAATACTTTTTTTATAACTGAATCGCGGCAAGAAGAACTTTTCAATGAATTCTGAACTTTGAATAGATTTTTAATTCTTTAATTAGCAAAGTACAACTCGAATCAATGTGCAGTGTTATTATCTAATAATTAAAAACATCTTTCTACTAATTTCATATTGGCTTGGAAATGCATACAATATTAACCATGTCTAAAAAAAAATATGTTCGGCATATCTTTAAAGAAAATTTGCGAAAAATTTTAAATAGAAATTATAAGTATAGAAGTATAGAATTTGTACTAAGATTCAAACAGTTGTACGTATCGCGATCGCTTTCTGATTGGGGTTTCTGTGGGAGAGGATAATTCTTATCCATCCATGATTCCTTTTTTGAACTCGCGACGAGACGAAGATTCATCACAGTTTTGGGTCCATTCGGAGCGAAAGCTGTATGTGCATCGTCGGCTGGGTGCACGTCAATGCCAGGCCATGGGGAAACCGGTGTTGTGTATGTCACCGAAAGAAACGGCGGTGGGGGCCGGCCGGCCGGTAGTTCTTCATGGTGGGGGGCCGCAGCCAGGGTTTCCGACCGCGTCGGCGGCGCTTAAGTCTCCGACGCGGGGGCATTGCCGTCGTGGCTGCGGTACGATCCGATCCGGCTGCTGTCTCGCAGTGCGCGCTGCTCCTCCTGCCGCACGTGTCGACGGTCTTCGTGCCGAAGGATATTCATTTCTTTTTCCCTGTCCCTTTTCTGCGCGAGAGATAACCGCGTGGCGACATATATCAGCCGCGGACCCCCGCGATCTTTGCAATTCGCGATTTCCTCAGTGTGCTACGAGTGCGATGATGATGATGGACCCATGAGAGATGGTGTGCGCGTGTGATGATCTGAGGGAACGCTTCTCTCTCGTCGTTCGCGACCATCGCAAGTAATGCGCTGACGAATAAGGGGTGATTCCCGAGAGGGGTATCTCGAGGGGTTACATCGTGATGGCACGCGATCGCGCGTGAGAAGTCGATGTAGCGTGCGAGAGGAACGAACATTCCTTTTTTTTTCCTAGAATTGAACACTCTTTTTTTTCTTTCATTCAAATTGTCGTACGTTGCACGTAAGTCTCGCGAGGATTTTAATATGCGTATCGAGGGTACAGTGAGCGCGTGGTAGTGCGTCGGTGTTTTTGGAGTACGGTGGTTCATTCACTACGGATAGTGAATGAAGGGCGATCGGGTTCGTGTCAGCGAAGGCAAAACAGTTTTGTCGTAGGTCAGTCCGCAGTAATCGAGCGCTGTCCCTCCGTTTCGTCGCTTGACGCGCGGCCTTCGATCGGCCGGGATGCCTCGTTTCCGATCTCGCGCCGGATATTGAGCGAGGTTGAATCGGAACGCGATAACGAGATCGCGAAGACTCGACGGGATCATCAACCTCTTCCGACTTCACCGAATTTTTCAGTTTAAACGAACGTTGGTGTTTTCCGCCGATTGTCTGACCGATGTCATTTTCACTATCGTTCGGTGCTAGTTATAAATCGTCTTGCGTGTGAGACTGCATTATTTATATTTACGTGCGCGATATACACTGTTTACGATTGGACCTCGTGACTAGCATTTTCGTGACAAGTGTCAATTGTACGTAGTGAATGAGACTCGACTTCTCTGTAGTTTATTCCTAAGTGCTACGAGTAATGCGAAGCTTATAAGTTCTGCCGCTTATAAATGCCACATTGAGTCTCCGCGGAGCTATTACTGGGATTATAAAAGCGTTCCTCACATCTAGGTAAGAATTAATGCGAGTGTTTAATACTTATTATGCATGCAAAAATAGTGTTTAATACTTATTCTGCATGCAAAATCTAAATAAAAGAAATTTTTAACAGACATGTATCGTATTTACATAAATAAATAGTCATTAAGTACAAACTTTATGTATTTAAATGCTTTTTTTTGCTACTAGTAAGATGAAACATTATAATAGAAATAGAAGAACTCAGAAAGAGTGACACGATTTTATTTTTTATTCTATTCTTTCGATTATGCTCCTGTTATTGTTTTATACGAATATAATACAATATATTTTATAATTGGAATAGTGATTAATAAAATATCTATATTAGAAGATGAGGGTATTGTATTTTAATACCATAAAGATCGAGCTATTCTGTGCGAAAGATAAGCCATATACAAAACATTTCCTTGAGAACTCATATATCATACTGTGTTCATTCACTTGTAACATGAACATTCATTTACGTGAAGTATCTCATGTACCACTGTTCTCACCTAACGAGAATTATAAAGGAATAAGATAAGCTATTAAATTTGAACCAGACAGTATTGTCATCGAATTATTAAAATTTTTTAACTCGGCTACACCGACAGTTCGAGTTAAATAAGCCTGGCTTATCAATTTGCCATCCCTTTCGACATTAAAATGTCTGATAATGTATATAAAAAGAAAATATAATTATGCAAGATTAAAACGTCTAAGGGCTAGTTTCACCATCTCCGATTATAACTGTTACCTTTAATTAAACTCTTCGTCTCTTTCTAAGGAGAACAGTTAGAAAGAGATGAAGAGTGAGTTTACTCGAAGGTTACAGTTAATCGACGTTGGTGAAACTAGCCCTAAATGGTGTTGATGTAACCGTTAATCCGAGTCAATTTAAACAAATACTGAACGCAGTGCATTTGAGTGGCGAATTTCTTTTTGCAGTATTAGCTTCATTCTTATTCACATGACACGATTTTATCAGTTTGGCAAATATTTGTTAAGCGCAAGTATCGCTTAGAGCTACCCTGATGAGCACCACTCGTTTCCATCGCAAAACGCGCGCTTGTGATCAGTCGCGCGAGAAAGTCGATCGTTGTTCTTGCAAGCACACGCACGATCTGCGAAGAGTATATACCTCCTGCGGCATCTCGCCAACCTCTTTCAACACGGTTAAATATTAGCGGGAAAGACCGGTGCGCTACGATAAATTCTAGCCACACGACACGCCAGCGCGCGCCGGCTCGTAAATCGGCCCCGCGCGACATGTATACTTCCAGGCGTCATTAATTAAAAGCTACGCTCGTTGCCTAGCACCCTCTTGTTCCTTCCTTGAAGATCGGCAGTTCCGTGGCATTCTCGCGAGATATTTTATAAACGTAGAGGTGCTGAATGTATCCGTGTAGCGCAAAACCCTTCTTGAGATCGGTCAAGTAATGTTTTCAGAAACGAGAAACTGAGCAGCGAGAATTTTGTTTATAGTTTTGATTACGTAATGTTTATCGAATCTTTTGTGAATGTTAGTGTCGATTTTCGAATTTTGTTTCATATTTATTTTCAGATTATTAATATTAAAAATTATTATTGACACTAATTATTACTCGATTTTATTACTGATTAGTTAATGACGCAAAAAAATTACATTTTTATTTATGTTTTACTTGTTAATTAATAATATCTTCAATAATATTATTTATTTTCAATTGTTATCTCTATAATTAAATTGTAAAATAAAGACGATATATTTTTCTATATATCGACATATTTAATTATTCCGATAATATTAAAATAGATTTTTAGTACCACTTTGTAGAGCCCTCACAATTAACTAAAACTAAACTAATAACTCGATATTATTTTAAATAGATCGCATTGTAGTTTGATCAGCAGTATATAATAAATAAGAACTTATTTTGTTAGTAATATATATTTGCAATTTTTTTCATGAAGAGTTGTGCAAAACTGGATTAGTGAATGTTTAGTTAACATTTGCGTCACAAATGTCATATCACCACAGTTATTAGATGCAATCTTCATTGCGAAACAGGAAAAAGATGTTTTTTTTTCTAATATTACGTTGAGTAGGAGCAAGAAACGGATAATTGTGCAAGAGTAGGAAGAAGACGACTCGTTCCACTTCCAATCTCACCTCCATTCACGACGTTACGCCGCCGTTGCAATCACGCGAAAACGAGTTTGACAGGTCGGTTGGTCCAACCAGCATAATCTCGCTTATCTCAGTTTGGCCTGATCGGGTGAGAACGGTTCGGAGCAACGCGAAAAAAAATATACACGCCGCGCGGTATGAATGGTCGAGTTATTTGAATTATGTCCAATGTAATCCTTTGATTACACAGTAAACTAACAAGACAAATAAGGAACTCTCGGAATTTTAGTCAGAGAAAAATATAACACAATGTATATAATGCTTATTTATTATTTTACAAATGAAATATACAAGATTACAGATAGGTTTTAATATTTATGAGTTGACATGTAACTTTGGAAAATGCTATTGACGTTTATGATAATAGAAAAGAAATAACTTTTCTGTGGCGTTGACGGTCGTCATCAATTAGTAAGAGGGAATCCTGATGCCCCAGAGAACATACAGCAAGTCCTTGATGGCTACGAGATCAATACCGGCATTTCTAGCGTGTGCCAAAAGCTCCTGGGTTTTGGGGTGAGCGTAAACCTTGTTGACGATCTCCTGGAAGTTCGGGGATTCCAATTGCCTGATGAAATCGGCGAATGCTGGCGATTCTCGTAACTTCTTTTCGTACAATGCATCAAGCTCTGCCCTGGGCAAAACGGCCAGGATATCATCCACGAATCCCCTAATTCCACCGGTGATCTGTGTACCGTAGGCATAGGAGGGCGGGGTAAGAGGAGGAAGTCCGAGAGCACTGTTCAGTATGTTCACGATCTTGTAAATGTCAATGCCGGCATTATGAATGTAATCCATCAAAACTTTAATCTCAGGCAGTTGCTCTACTTCTAGAACCAGCTGCTTAAATCCGGGGCTTTGGAAGTATGCAATCATTCTCTGGAACTCCGCATCTTGATGGTAGTATTCAAGAGTGATTTGTAATATCCGTTCGACAGGCAAAAGGTCCAAGAACTCTTGGATATCCTTGTGGAGTTCACCTCTGCCAAAATTGGGGATCTCAATTCTGGCGGAGGCCGTAGCCACGAAGGCCAACAGTACCAATGCGAACTTCATCTGCAAAAATAAATAATTTCGTTCAGATTATTGATGTATTTGAGAATTACATTATATATATAAAATATTTGGATACATTATACTTATTATACTTGATATTATTATACATAAAACATATATTTAAATAAATCAAACTTATTTAAAAATTATGTTAACAAAAGCAATTTCTTGATATGACGTTTGTGCATTAACAAATATTGGTTAAACATTTATTATTTCGACTTTGTGTAATTTTTCATGGAGAAAAAAATTCAAATATTACTCAATTTTTATTGTACATCGTTAATCAAACTATATCATGGCGTATTGATCTATTTAAAATACACACATATGATCTATTAGTTTAGTTAACTAAATCAATAAAATACCGAAAATCGGTATTTTACGATATCAAACTGAATGGACACGGTAATTGAAGAATAATGTAATTATAATTATTTACATAAAATTTTTTTATTTATATTTTTTAATTTGTCTGAGAACAGTTTTATTTATTGTTAAATTAAACAGGAAGTAAATGATTTAGTGTATTGCGTATTTTTTCGTGCGTATAATATTCAAATTCAAAATGTTTAACTCGGTGTAATAACTCATAGTCTATTGATACTCACCTTTGAAATATTGATGATACTTCAGCGTATGATCTCGCAAACTGATGCTTTACAATTCTTGCCGCTGTCTTATATACGAAATTACATCTTATTTGTTCAATCTGTGTGATAAGATTATTTATTATCTACAAGTACCTACTTGTATGATTTTAGGACAAAACATTTAAGATTATTTTAAAAAATTATGCAATGATTTTAGATTATCCTCTCACTTTTATAACCGGTTTTTTACTTACTTGATTACTTACTTAAGTTTCGATAATTGCACGGGCGGAATAATTACAAATATTGTTAAGAGCACTTAAAATGTTTGAGAGAATTGCAATTAATGTGTTGCATCCAATTCATTATTGATAAATTATAATAAGGTGTTCAGTACATTTTAATATCATTTTAGTTTTATCAATATATTTGTAGAAGATTTTATTTAAATAATCTTTTGCTTTTAGATGGAAAGAGAACATTCCTAAGATAAAAAGAAAATAATGATATCAGATTTAATTTAATACATAATCTTTAAATTTTAATATATTTTCGTAATATTTTCTGTTCAATAATTAAATATATTGAAATACACATTTCTTTGTAATGTGGATTTTTTTAATTTTCTTATATAATATTTTTTATATTTTATATAAAAATTGGAAAATATGTTGATAAAATCAGTTGGTACTTATCTTGTTCCAAATAGATCGATAACGTGCAGGTGTGTTTTATCAAGCGAAATTAACCATTGCCCCCTCTCATATCATATATAGTACGTAATAAAAGTTTCCGTTAAATCAGATAGTTTCAGTAAGTTTTGTGGAAAAATAGGATATCTCGTCTAAAGTTTTGCTATTTGTGAGAAATTCATTTATTTTAGCATAGCCCATATTCCTGAATTACCTTTTTCCGCTTTTACTGTCCAATTATCGTATCTTTTCATAGCTGGTGCCCTAAGCGATGTTTTTTTTTTTTTTTTTAATAATTTTCCCGCATATTACGTTATGTTACATTCGTCACGAACTATCATCATCGCATTACCAGTGTTTCTGTAGCGTGCTTTACACTCATCCGTTCGTATACCTTAATCGATTAAAATCCGCTTAAGATCTATTATTCTTTTCCGTTTGTTTCATTATCCGATTCGATTCAGAATTTACGGAAACAAAGTCTTACTTTTAAACGAGATTTACCTTTATAACTCTTTGAATCTTTTTTCTTTTTTCTTCAATAGTTAATCCGCCGCTGAAAAAAGACTCTTCTTAAATCGAATTGTTCCCATATCGATTGCGAGAATTAAATTGGCGTTTCTAAAATTCATAAAATGTACGCAAGCGAGCAATAATTCGCAACCGTGAGAAAATGCCTCTTATGCGTCATCGCGATGGGGAAATGATCTTACCTATTCCTTAATCGTGTCTTGATCATGTCGATGTTCGATCTCACGCCTCGTCGATCGCCGATTTTAGATGCTTTAGTTCCGCTTTCGTTATCGCTGCCGGGCGCGTACATGTGTTTCACTAAATGGAATAACGTTGTTTCTGTCGTAAAAACAGTTCTTTGTCGATTAGGCCAGGATTCATGAATATGTATCGGTTTTAAAGAAACAATCGCATGTAATAAATCATATGCTGATAAATCATTACAGCGGGCTAGTTTAGTCATTCTTGAGTTACTTCTGTACATCGAGGAAAATAGTCGGTACTTTTGCCATTAAATGCAATTAATATGTAGGTATCCAAATAACAAGTTATTTTTGTAAGTTCTTAATCTGATTCATGACCGTATCTGTATGATCTCTATAAATTTTATCGATGAGGAAAATCCGAAACTTTGTGTAATCTCTGGCTTAAGTGTTTTTTGAATTGCCGTTTAATGTCCACAGCTGTGTCAGTATCACGAGTCGCTTACACGAGAGATGTGTACGAGAGATTCCCCGTTGTTTACGCGTTATTGATCACGCAATCACGTAATCATGGGTTTATCCATTTTTTCGCGAGTCTCTTCGCGGATCTTTACTTCGATCGTTATTAATTATTATTAACGCAATTTACTGCTTTGTCGTGCATCAACATCGTAGTTATAATACTAACTGAACGCGAATGGGTTGCCGATATTTTCATTGTATCGCTGTCTGTTCCCTTCGACAATTGTCATCGATCATTTATATTCATCTCTTGAAGTTTCGGTCAATTACTAAGATCAGTGATGTATTCATGCAGTATTAAAGAAATCGATATAATTTCAGTGAATTTGGATTTCGATATTTCAGTACATACTATAAGAGTTTATAGTTTTCACCAAATGAAATTAAACAAAAGTGTTAAAAATGAAAACCAAGAAATATTTAAAGTGATTTTTAATTCTGGCCTGCAACATTTTAAATCATCTCATTTAGACATTATCGATGTTTAAAGCGATGTAGATGTTTAACATGCAGCGAACATTAATTGATAAATGCTCCATTTTTTTTAAATATAAATTTATTCGGTATTTGTGCCCACACACAAACTTTTAGTTTTGTCAACGGGTGAAAGTTGATCGTTCTTTCGAAGAAAGCAATGTTTTTACAAGATTTGGTTGCGTTATCCATTGAGCTCAAGTCTGGCTTTAGTTACACTCTTGATTATATGCCGCTATTCGACGTTCGAGCCACTTCGTGCGGTTGAAGTGTTCCAGTATGCGTTTGTTATGCTAATCTACAGTAACCATGCTCTTTGCTCCGTCCGACACGGCAAGACGAGCACGTCAATCTCTCAAAAAGAATGACGTAATGGCTCCAAAATCGTTTTTTTCCGCCTGCCGGCCTCTCCCTCCTCGCTTTGCATCGCTGCTTAAAGATGCACGCGTCGGCTTGAACGCATGAAGCGTTTACTAAGAGTCATTATTTTTCTTTCGTTTCGAGACTCGCGAAGCGACTCTCCGCCGCGATTTAGGAGTCATAAAGTCAGCCACGCCAGAGTTTGAAAAAATGAGAGCCGAAAACCACCACCGCGCGCGGAAGAAGCCTTCCGCGTTCAGAAGTTTAGCGAAATTGCACCGGTTGATGACTGTAATTACTGACGAAATTAAACCCGTTCCGAGAGTATTCTACAGACCGATCTTCCAACTGCAAAAAAAAGTGATTTAAAAGGCGAGGCGAAGATTAAACAATTCCTTTCACGAACGCGCAATAAAACGTGCATGTGATATTCTCACGTAACGGCGCTGGATAGTAAAAGTTTTGCGAACTTTATCCTCGTTTCTTGCCCCATGCGGGATATTTCGGAGCACGACTCCTAGTCGATAGATTGGAAGGTTGGGAAGTTTGAGTCGTTACTGTTGTAATAAAATCATGGGTCAATGGCCGATGCAATGTCGTTGTTGCCGGCAAAGATAAAAACATTTTGGGAGTCGTGCAGCTAGAATTTAATCAAGCAAGAGTTTTCTAGATTGCCATTGGGAAGCGAAAGTGCTCCCGGGAGATCGAAATCAACCATTTGATATTCTAGAAAGACATTGTCTTGGAAAGTAAGATCCCTCTTCGATGTGCGGGCGGAATATTAGAACTGCGAGTAATCAGAGGAAATTGATCTAAGTTTGATTAACTTGGCAATCACTCCCTTAGAGATATAAAATTGATTCGAAATCGAAACGTCATTGTAATACAATATCAAAAGTTTTGAAAATTGTTCAAATATAATATAATTTTATATATTGAATTATATAGAATTATATATGTATAATCGATATGCGAGATAAAGTTTTATAAATTATAAAAATTAACACATTTGAAACATTGATTATTTATTATTTTTATTACTTAGAAATATTGTAAAACTAAATATAATGATTGATTATAATAAAAAAATCGAGATACATAATTTCATTATTGAAAAGTTGCAAGGCAGAGTATGTGGTTCACTGAAGCGTAACGTATGTACATCCTGCTGGAAGATAGCCTTTAGAATCATTTGTTATCTTTATCGATCTGTTATTTCAATCATTCGCACTTTATTGTTCCGTATATTTCTCACGAATTAACTCGTTCCATTTGTGTGTATTTAGCGTAACATTTCCTGAAGGATTGCACAACTAAAATCCGACGTAAATGAGGGCAGATTCTTTTCATTCAACGTTGATTATTTCCGGGTCCGGTGTACCAAATAGTGTTACACCATAGAGTTATAGAAAATTTCTTGCTGATATTAAAACAGTTTAGCTCAGAATTATAATTTACTACATTATTAATGCATTAAATGTTGAATTTCATGAAAACTTTGATTAGATTGATTCCGCAATACTAATCTCTCGAGTAACTTTCTGTCGATGAATTATTAAGCCCACCATCCGTAATTATTTCAATGATATCCGGGAGTTACGACTTCGTCGTCGGGGCGATGGACGACGACACACCCGCAGTTGGCAATTCCGTTTGCATATAATTGCACAGGAAAGAGACAGCATCATAAACAATTTTTGTGCCGCTTTTTCGTCGTCGTATTAATTCGCGATTAATCTTCGAGGCGAAAGTCGAGGTGAGCGTCGAGCCCTACTTTAACTCGAACGTGTTAAAAAAATGTACGCTCGCGGCCGCTCGCGTTAATGCTTTCCCGGGGAGAACTACAAGCGTAATAGGTGCCGGGCAGTTGTAATTAAAATAACGATCAACGGCATTAATGCTGTCATAAACGATATGTGCTTGGAACTCGTTTCAAACTGCTTCGATCTTCCCGCATGTGAGATCAGATTGTGTCCCAGCTATTCCTCTATGATTTAGAACGAGTTATCGAAAAAATGTACAGTAATGGCAGCAATGCATTCCGATAAATGATTTCTTTCTTCTGTATGTCGATTTCACGTGTGTACTTACAGATATCGTCCAACAGAATATACATTAATTAGCTTAATTAGTAATTGGATGCGTATGAAAGATCTGAGCTATTAAATAGAGAATCACGCTATGAAATATATAAAATGCTTTAGAATCCTCTTCTCCTTCTTCGAATTACAGATGTGAATTATAGAAACGAAGCAGAAAAACAATTGCTTTTGATATTAGGAAATTAAAGCGT